AAATGACTTGACATTGCTTTTAATTGACATATATGTTCCACTTGTAAACATATAAACAGCAGACATTTTTTTTTAAACCTACGACCACCAACTTGTCTAAGCAAAATTAAACCAAGGTTTAAATGAAATAAATTGACCACATATTATTTACACAACTCACAATCGATCCTTCATTAGGATAATGACGTGATTTCACTTTATAAAATCTTTACATAATTACAGATTATAAACGTATTTCAATTACTACAGATAATGACTTCCTACTGCTAAAGAGGGCGCGGTCACTACTCACGCACTTATTATACATGATAATAACTATTTAATGTGATTGTTCATCGATTAGAAGGGCTTGGCTTCTCAAACATAAATTTTAGATGTATTATTATTAGTATATTATTTCTTATGCCGATTTTTTTTCGTTCTGAATAAAAGATAAAAAAAAAACAAAAAATTAATTAACAAAAAATATAAACCTCTACTTTACAGGTTATTTGAAATCCTTTTACAATTATATAAAACCTAAAAAAAGTTCGTTCTCAATTCGTCAGTTCCGAGATCGTAAGGATCTGATGATAGGATCCTGGCGAAATCAAGCGAAACTTTTTTTATCGGAACTTAAATCTGTTTTAATATTTTTGTAGTGGCTTTTTTCGAAAATAACTGACCAAGAAGATAAACGATGTCTTGGTGCATTTTAAAGTTTAAATAATAAATATTGCATCAACAAATGTTCCATGACATTTTCAATATTACAATAGTGTAGATTACGGTTCCAACAAATAACCTTTAGTTGATTATAAGGTAATAATCATTGTAGTGTTCAAGGTTCATCTTTGCATTGAGAAACACATGGCCGATTGTGAAATGTATCGAGGATAAATGATTAACTATCACGTACTCAGAGATGTTAATAATCGTTAACAGCTTAAGGCATTTAATGAAGATTTTAAATTTACTAATCGGTCGCTGAGTTCCACTGTTTATTAGATATATATTATTAATATACTATTACTCTGAGAAGTCTGAGCGGCGTGAGTGTACTGAATTATTAATACATTTGAGCCATATTCATGATTATTTAACAGATCAAGTTATAACAATACTCAAAGATTTTTCAATACTAAAAATGGAAAAATAAAACAGATACCGCCCATGCGTTTAAACGACTAAAATTTGTTACACATAAGTATAGAATGCCACCTGTATTTAGATTTAATGACACCTAATTCGAGTTTTGTTTTTTTTTAAATATAAAAAAAACAACGTTGTTGTTTGCAAACAAGCCTATGGGACGCCCATAGACACCCATTTTTAATGGGTGCGTTGCCAGTCTTTGAGGGAGGAGTACAATCGAATTTTGAATAGTTGGAGGTCGTATCTCTCAGGGACCCAACCGGGAGTCGATTCCACAGTTCGCTAGTTCGCAAAAGAAAATGCCTTGTGAAACGGACTGTGGAAGAATTCCAGCCATCAAGGTGATGTTGATGAAATTTTGATACGGCTCGTACGGTGTTGAAACGTTATCGTAAGTTCAGTACTGATGGGGATAATATAAATTGTGATTCTTTAAACGAATTGTAGCCCTAGGTTGACGTATTTGTACACCTTTATCCGCCGGTCACGATACTCCGTTTATGTCGTACAACCGTTCCATGGGGACATTAGTGCACTATGTTTGTGTACATGTACGAGATATTAAGATATATGCAAATGTTTATCCATGTTGAGTTTCAAGGTTAAGTTTTTATAGAGTTTGAACATAGCTGGAGACTAGTTACGCTGCGTAGGTACCATATACAAAAATTGTCTCGGTTCAGGAAATCTCAATTTGAGTGACCTTCCTGAGTATTTGTACACCATTAAAACGCCACACCCGACGCTGAATAATGGCTTTGAGCTGAGTGCATCGGTTTCCGTGTTAAAAGCACGTTTATTTTTCAATTCCGGCCGTTTCGCGAGTCGCCGAGGCCGCGATAAGGTTTTTTAAAGATGATTTACAACGACTTCCTTCGAGGAAACGATGTTTATACATTTTTGGCAATTTATACGTGAAGGAATTTCGGGTGTCAATGTTTGATTTTAATCTGTAATGCTTAACAAATTACATAAAACTCTCGTTTTTTTAAGTAAAAATTTCGTCTTGTGATCTAAATATGTTATACTTCATTACAGAAAACAGCAATTTGGATTTGACTAGTTTTTGAACTTGTTTATCGGCGTGTGTAATGAAAAACATAAGTATGTTGTATATTGGGACCGAACCTTTTCGAACTAAACTTTGCGCTGTCTAGTGAATTTTGTAATATAGCATACAATATGAACGAAGGAGGCGTTTTGTGGGAGAGACTAATTTTGAATATGTTGCTTAATTTTAATTTTTATTAGGCTCTCATGTCTGCTTAATTTCATAGCAGTATATATATATCGGAAACTAAAAGTCTTGAGTGATTTGAATTAGGTTGATTCCAGCTTAGGAAACAGTCAAAGTTTAAACAAATTCGGTGCAGTTGAGATATTGGGACGCATTTCTAGAATATAAATGTTTTGGTATGGCTACACGAAATTTACCACTCAGATATCTGGATCTGGCAATAAACACAAAATAGTAAAAAAATACACGGTAACTATTTATATGTTTACTAATTAACCAGATCGGTCGACACAGATTTATTGCTGCCATATTTATAAAAAATGGGTTATAACTTGTTAATTAAAGACTGGCGCTTGAATTATAATTGATTAACCGTCAGATAAAAATTAAATCCGACCTTAAATAAATTGCCACATGAATTTGTTAATGCCAGATTTTAATTAAATAAATTTTATTCATTGGCTGACAGTTTTATTATGATTATGATTTAGATAAAAACTGTTATTTGATATTTCTATCATCAATAAACAACCTTAATTGCTTGCCCTGTGAAATTTTCATTGAAGTAATTGCTTGGGGTTGGATGCAAACGGCTTCGTGTAGCATGCCACTGTTAAAGGTACAATTATGTAACTATCATCATACTGAAAACCTCTTGTGTCACAAAATCATGTCATTATGACAATTATATACCTATTGCATATAATCATATATATTCAATTGTTTTTTAACTTTCATCTTTGCTGGCCAAGATTTGACCATCGATGTATCTAAAGAAATCCCCCTTTCACATATGTAATCACCTAAATAATTTGGATGTAATTTTATGTTTAAAATGAATATTTTAATATATAAGAGAAATTGAGATACCTATATAGAAAAATTACACAATTTTGTAGCGCCACTATTCAAACTCACTGAACCATTAATTAGCCTAATTATGGAATTAAAACATTAAATAGCCTTTTGGCTACACAGGAAGTGAGATCTTGCCCTTGTTGGTACGCGCGCTTGCGCTGCTTAAAATAGAAGGTTGTAGTCATATCGCCTCTAGCTCAGTTCCGCTACCAAAGATTAGGCTTTCCTTGAAGTTTATTTTATTAAGTAATTGTACAAAATTATCTAGTAGTATTTCTAAATAACAATGAATTATTGATTTATTTATCCTTACAATGATCTACATAATAGTAGCTACTATATTTTAAAATAACAGTGAAATGAAAGCAGCAACTTTGTATGTAAATTTTAATAAACAGCTCGAACAGTTGAAATAATATGTCAGCTTGAAATCAAGTAATTTTGTTGCGAGGGGGACGTCGATTTGCCGGTAAATAGTTCTTATCGTTCTACAAAGTATAACTTCATTTGTAACCTTTTATAAGCTCCGAGTTTTTATGCTCCTTTTATTCAACTGTCCCTTCGCTATCCCCTTTTATGTATTTCAGCTTTGAATGAAAATTGTTTATATTATCCTTTATATTCTTTTAAAGTTGAATACAAGAAACGCGCTCTAACAGATGCAGTCTTTCCATTTATTGAAACAGCCATTTGCATTTATGGAACTTAATGCTCGTTATGATAAATTGGTTCCAATCCAAGAAACAGTGATTGATGATTATATATACCTCAATACAGAATTGATGAAGGTTTAACATTGCCTAATACAGAAATCGTGATAATACTATCAATAATTTAAATTTGTTGACTGCACAAAAAACACTATCAGTTCACCTTGAAAGTCGTAGTGGGCGTACCGAACTTGATTTAGTCGCCATCTGACAAACCCTTTTTTGTCCTGAATATAAATAAGACGAGCAAAAAATACAAAGTCGAGTGAGATTTTTTCCTTGCCGTTTCCATTGGGACTGGGCCGAGTTTAGCGTAAGTAAGATTTGAATAATAAAAGAGATATTCGCTTATGGTCTTAGCGTGGCGTTGTTTTGCTCCTCTAGAAAGTTTTTCATTCTATGAAAATATGCTTCGAAATATCGCGGCATTGAAGTAAGGAAAATAAGATCAACATTATCCCATATCAACGTGTCCTCCACGCTTCCTATACGATTCGATAATGACTTCCTGCGTCCTTTAATATCCTCGTTAGATTCAATTCAATGTTTTATAACATTCGATCGAAACGCGGAAGCTACCGAGAGCTCTCCACGTACATTTACGCACCAGATAATTTGAAATAGAAATAAAATTGGGTCACGCATAACACGAACCAAACGTGAAATCGAATTAGTCAATTACGTATTCAATCGGTTGCGTTGGATATTTTCCTATGGTCTATTAGAATTCATTACGTTTTGACTTGTTTGTAATAATAGTAATAATTCCTATGATAACAGTATCATTAATAGTAAGGACGCAAACTTAATGGTGCCACGTCATGCATACTAATTCGGTAACCGGCTCTGGCAGAGCGCAGATCGGACATGCCTGAAATAATAATCACGTTCTCTACAATTTAACTGATAACACCGATTTTCTGTTTTAAACATAAATCTTCTTAATAGATTCGACTCCATCCGTAGCAATTTAATAGCAGTTTTATTGTAACTTTTTAATTCAATGTAACGTTTTTTGTTCACAGACGAAAAAGAACAACCCCAACCACATCAAGAGGCCGATGAACGCGTTTATGGTGTGGTCTCAGATCGAGCGCAGAAAAATATGCGAACAAACACCGGATATGCACAACGCCGAAATATCAAAGAACTTGGGGCGAGTTTGGAAAACGTTGAATGACGAAGAGAGGCAACCGTTCATAGATGAGGCGGAGCGACTTAGACAGCTTCATATGCGAGAATATCCCGATTACAAGTATAGACCTCGCAAGAAGACCGCTAAGCCCGCCCCAAGAAATGGTGGTGTCACGAAGCCCAAACGCAAGCAGCGGGCTGACACAAATAACAATAGAGGAGTAACCAGGCGACGATCTCGGCCTACACCTGTAAGCGTCCCCATGATGCCTATGGACACACCAGCTCCTCCAGCCCTGCCCGCATCTCCGGCGGGGGCGCCCGACTCCCCTGAGTCGGCTTGTCTCTACGACGACAATTCTCGGCGCGAGCAGACAGACCTTACGGACCTGTATTCCATAACGGACCTGCTGCGCCTCCCGGCTGACTGTGAAGTCGACCTAGACGTGCTTACGGACATGGAGTCGTTCGAGACAGCCTCTTCCTCTTCGGGCTCGCACTTTGAGTTCTCTTGCACGCCGGACGTATCGGATATGCTCAGCGAGATCGGCGTGACGAGCGATTGGGACGAGACCGCGTTTTCGTCGTACCTCACGTCGTCTTAGAGTGGTGTGCGGGTCGCCTCGGCCGCTGGCCGGTACCACTGATCTCATTTCGAGCCGCCACACGGGGGCCGACGACGCGGCGACCGCTCGCCGCCCCGCCTAGAGAGTGCCTACATCCAATCGACGTGTCGACATTTGGATTCAATGTACAAAGTTATTTAATAAGGTTTCGAGTGTGAAATTTCGGTTCTAATGTCGATCGGCCGACGTGGCCGCTTTAACTTCGTTTTATCGTTTAGTTTATAAAACTAACTGTTGCAACTGGCGTCTGAAAACGCGGCGCCCGGTTTTAAAAAATAGGCTGTGAGTTGGTTTTTTAAACGTGTTGCTTTTATTGATTTTTTCTTTGAAAACAAATCGTCGGATAGATTTCCAAACGGCACGTCTCAGACGCATCTCAGTAAAAATTCCGTCTAACTCTCCGTCGCCTGATTAGCAAGCCGCGGACACATCGTTTGCGCACAGTCGTAGGGTCGTGTCGCGTTGTCGCGTCCGTATATTCTTTACGAGTACATTACTCGAGTTGGCTTCTTCAAACTAAGTTCGCGACTCCTTCCTATCTTACTTTATTTTATAACTTTTACACTGTAGATATCTTTTTATTTACGTTCAAACTAAACATAATATTATATCATTCGTAATAGAAAATTAAGACTAGGTTATAGTCATGTTTGTCTTACGTTTGTACGTAAGTTCACTTTATACTTTGATGCACGCATAGTGATAGTTTGGTTTATGATTTCACTGTCGGAAGCTGATCGGTATGCTATTCGTAAGAATTCGGAGTGCGGATCGCAGAGTGGATATAGGACATTGACTATATGTGGGAATGAGCCCTTGCCGCGTGAATGTTTTCTCTTTTTGAATCGAGCCATTCGCGCCCTGCTGTTGACGGGTAGGTTTTTTACCGTCGCGCGCGTGACTTTTTTCAAATCCATTAAATAGATTCATGGCATTGGTATTGTGTAGGAGTTTGAGTCGATATGTCTTGCTATATTTACATTAGGTTGCTTAAGATAGGGTAATGTGCGTTGGTAGGGTACGAAAGTTTGTCTAAAGATATGACGGCACCTCAGGATCGATGCGAAGGGACACTTCAACTTTCTAGTTCATTTCTTGTCTTCATGCTTCACAAAGTCTATAGAAAGATACATATCAAAAGGGGGAATGTACTGTATCGCGGGTCGGTTATGATCGTAAGAACAAAACTATACTTCTGTCAAACTTAAATATTTTGCTGTTTCGAACTCTGTGATTTACTTTACGGAATTTCTAAATTTTAAGAATATTATAGTGGAGACTGATATCGCATAGATTAGTTTTAGCAGCGCTAGCTTCTCTATCTTTTTAATTTTTAGAACTGGGCATAACTCTTGAATGTAAAACGAGACATATTTTTGATATTTCGCTTCACTGTGGTTATTCAGTCGCGAGACGTCGATTTCCATAGACTAGCGTCCAACAAAAGTATTTGTATTTTCGTAAACTGTCAATTCATTGGAAATTATGTCAGTTACTTGCATAATATTTACAACTTAGCCTCACTCATCTTAAGATATATTACACTCTGGTTACGCTATCTATAGTTTGATAACGAAATAGTGTGTTTAGATACTGTGTCCCTAATATAAAACCAAGGGATCCGTTGTGCTCTAATCATTAAAAACAAAATGCTTTACTTATATTATTATATTCTTATAAACATATTGTAAAAACTTCGAGTAATAATTAGTAAGTGTCTACGAAATCCAATTATTTTTAAAGATGCATAAAAATACGCGTTATCTATACATTGTATTGCAAATCTGTAATTTATACTGTCTACTGTGTGTTGTAGGGCAACATGATATATTATTTATACAATCGATACTTAAAGGATTAAAAAAAAATTCGTGCCTAAGAAAATTTCGATTTCAAATGTATATTTTAGCGATGCTCAAGTATCTTTATAAGCAAGTAGTTATGTAGAAGCTGTAAAATCTGTGTAAAATTGTAACACTAAGATAATTTCGATTGCCAGATTTGCATTTGATATAATTTGCTACGTGTACGTAAGGGGTCGTCCAAGAATTACGTAAGCACCAAAGGGGGGTCTTTGATTTTCTTATTTGGTGATTACGTCAACAGTAACTATTTACTTTTTTACGCATATTCCCCACACATTGTCTATGCTTGGAAACGAAAAATTACTACGTTTATGTACTATTATATTTGAGAGCTTTACTTACTTTTGCTGACAAGAGAAGGGGGGGATAAGATGCAGTAAATCTGCTTACGTAATACTTGAACGGGCCCTATTACAATAGATTAACTAGGATTGTTCAGTCAGTTTCAGCACATCAATATTAAAAATCCATCGAGCAAATCTTTTCTACTCCATTTATTTAGAACATTTAAATGTATTTAATGCTCACATTTCAATTTATCCACATTCACGTTCTGTGTGCTTTATTTCACGAGTATTTTGAAACTTCGACAATAAAATTTTACTTGGGTATAAGTTCGGAACAGACTTACAAGAATTTCCGTTCGAGTACGTTTTGAATATACCTCAGCTTTACCACTGTCGTTTATTTTTATGGCTTCTTACGTGCTAAATTTTGCTTTAACTGCAAATTTGAATTCAACGATTCCAAGCAATAAATTTATAAGTGACACGAACGCTCAAATTAGTGTTAAAATCTTCTTTCTTATTAAAATTATAGCACGTTGTCCGCAAGGCGAGCATCATTTTGTCAGCCAATCGTGGCCTCTTGCGGTGCTGTATATTTTGATTTGAGAGAAGACATAATTATTGACCCCTGAGTATTTATAAAACAACATCGAATTTAATATACGTAGCGCTTGTTGTGGTTCAATAATTGGACTTATCAGGGTTTGACGTTTCATTTTAAATTGTAGATTGTAACTTCTTCAACGTTTTACCTATTACGAGGTAATATCCCAAGTTTCTTATTTTGCTTGAACATAGGCTTCTTATCGTAGTGGCTTCGGTCTTTCTACATATGTATGTAATAATGTAAATAAGTAAAAATTGTTTATATTGAAAAAGTCAAAATAAAGCGACACTGTGAGAAATATTAGATTATAAATATAGTATGCGTCTCAAAGAAATAAATATCATAGAGGACGTTGTAGTTGTTGTAGGTTTTGTATGTAATAAAGTATATTTATGAAAGAAATTGTTGTGTACTTCGAAAGCTGTCTATCTCTTTGTAACTATGTAAATCTAATTTGGATAACGATCCATATAATGTGTTCTTCGTTCATTTTTCAATATAAGTTCCCTTCATTCTTCATTCTCGTTACATATTTTTGTAAATGAATTTCTATCATAACATTTCTTCCTGTCTCTCAGCCTAAAAATTGCACCGCTAATAGCAAAAATATAAAAAAAGCCCTGATGCTTAATTCATAACACAATATTATAATTTGGTTGTACGATCAATGGAGAATGAAGCTTTCGTTTTTCCTTACTGATTTTACATTATACTACTTAATACAAGTAGAATTTACAGAATTATATGTAATAAGCGTATATTATATGACATAATGTCTTGTAAATTCTTTAAAATGTTAGTGAATTATTCACAGAACTGAAAAAAAGGTTGAAATTATTCTCGTTATGTTGTTTGTGAAAATTGAACTATATCTGTATCATATTATGTATGTATTGTTGTTTTTATATAAGTATAAGCGTCTTCTATAGGGTTTTTAAAACTTTTCCACTTTGAGACACAACGAACCTTTCTGTTAGCACTTACTTAATCATAATTGGTGTCTATAATATAAAAAATATTAACCGATGTTTTGATACGTCATACAGTAGTGATTACCATAAAAAGTATCTTGTTGAAGTAGCTGTGTCATTAACTATTGGTAATATTAATTATATTGATAATATAATAACAAGATTCGCACAATGAAATCAAGGAACTAACATAGGTGTAACAATAATAGAAGTTAATGTTATTATTACGAGAAAATAAACAATTAACGTAAGTGTGATAGTATTTGCGTTCCATGATTTCTAAATAGAGTAGTTACCCCCAAATATGTATCGACGCGTATCCTTCGCTCCTCCTAGTTTACTAAAAACGAACAGATAAACAATAACTCTAGATCTATATTATCTGTATATTTTTAGTAGTCTAAGGCTTCGATTGTATACGCGATAAAGGCTTTTAATTTTTGACATAATATTCCATTTATTTCTACTGTAAATAATTGTATTGAAACAAAAATTTTATAAAAAAAATGGTCCATTAAACTTTATCACGTAATTATAAGGTAGTGATATATTAGTAGTTGCATACGTATACCTTTTGGAGAATTGTGTGTGCTTATTGTTATTGAAAGTACCTAATGCCAAACGAATTTCTACTTTCGAAGCTAAAAAGCATGGCTTTAAACTTGAATTTGGACTGTAGTGTTGATTTCATCGTCACCTCTGTCTTTGTAAATAGTAAAGTAAGGCCACAATTTAATTTAGATTTCTGTCACACATTAGCTGTGTTCCGAAACCTTCTAGTCTTGATATTCGGGCAGACTTGTGTTCATGTAGATTCGTTCAGACTTTGCGGTGGCCTTTCCATAATTGATACCTGATTTTTATTAGATTTGTTTTTCAATTGATACCAAAAATAATCGATGCTGTTAGACACCGTTACCGATGGATCTCTATATTAAGTAGCACTAAACGAATATTGCTTTCGGCTGACCAAATAGTGGCAACTTGTTCTGTTGTCGGATTTTGTATTGGTTCTAAAATGTAAATAACTCATAAACGAAGCACAGTTCTTTTGAACCGGTGTGTAGCACCCTCTGGTGGGGCTTTTCGGAACTAAACTGGCAAATCGTTCTTTTTATGTTTAAGTTATTTTCGTAAAATTTGTGAACATCAGGCGTTGTATAAATTATTGTCTCGTATCTCTGTAGGTACTATTGCATATAATGTACGTAGTTTTTTAAAATGTTAAGTATGAAATAACATTACTGTA